GTTTAGGTCCTCTTAAATTATTGCTAGTTTGCATTAGGATAGGCACATGATCAGACAAGATTCTTGTCAGGGCTTTGACAAGAGCCAGAGGAAAAATGGACTCCCAACCACTTCAAACTAGGAATCGATCAATTTTACTCATGATCAAATTATTGAGGCAATTATTTGACCACGTGAAATGAGCCCCGTTAGTAAATCTATCAGTTCATTGCACAAAATAAAATTATTAAATCACCTCATGGAAGAGTTAACTCGGGCTGTCATAGAAATCTTATCGGACCACCTTATCATATAAAAATCCCTCCCACACACCAAGGTAAATTAAAAGAATTAGAAATTATTGTAATTTCTTCCAAAAAACCTACTTTTTAAGCACAAATGTTCGAGCCATATACATTAAAAAAAAAGGAAAAAAGAACAAAAAAAAAAGATGCCCATGTGAAATTATTACAAGGACCCTCAAAATCTCCTACCAGCAGTCTTTCTTTTTCTACCACGCCAACACGACGAAAAAGAATATCCCAAAAAGTCCATAGACTCCATAAGATCTTATAGCATCTACCCCAACAAAACCAACAGAACCCGAACCCCAAATTTCTCTCACACTCCTACCATAAGGCCTTGGGAGCTTGGTTTCCTGCAACATTACAATTTCAGGTTTTAACTACCTTACTAACAATAAGACTTTATGTTTTGTACATAGCTCCTCAAGTTCTCTTCCATTCCACCTAAGGAACTTCATAGGCAGTGGAAGTTGATCCAACATGGGCAATGGGGGCATAATCAGATACAGTCGAACTCTCTAAACTATCTTCCACATTAACTATCCCATTGTCTCTCATTCATAATGATAGTACCACCATTGTTCCTCGAAGCTTTTCTAACTGCATTCCTCGACGAAGATTTTGTAGGTTTTGCCAGGGTTTTGGCAATACCTTTTCCTTTTGCCCTAGTTTTTGCATTCTTGTCGCTATCACCGTTCTCCTTATCTTCACCTTCCTTTTGCTTCTTGGATGTTTTGTAATGCTTCTTCAACACCTACAACACCTGACTAATAGGAACATCAAAAGACACCCCCATATCAAAAAACATATCCTCTAGCAATTTGTCATCATCCACCATCTGATCAGGAACTTTAGGCATTTCAGCTTCTTTTGCAATATCTTAGTGGCTAAACAAAATCCACTTCTCCTTCTGATAGCACCTCTAAATCATGGCAAAAAGATAAGCACTTGGACTCTGATAATTTCTCTATGGTGACATTACCATCACCATATCTCTACCCCTACACCATATCATTATGTTCAATCCACCATCATCATTCAAGACGATAACGGGGAGTCCTTGTATTTCTGGTGGTACACGAGATTGCCCATCATCTTGTTACTTTTGTGTTCTAGAGTCTCACCATTTTTAGTATTTTCCCTAGCATATCCCAGTAATACGGATCCTTAAAATAGTACAACAAAAATTTCACTAAGTCTATAACTTCTTCCTCTAAAAAGAACCTCCTTGGCACAACTGCTCGTTGGCAATCGAAGCTTCCTTCTTTAAAACCCCTTACTACCTGTTGTTCTTTCCTAATTAGAGAAGGCGAGAAATTTTTTCCAAGGTATCTAACTAAGGTATAATTAGCATACCCACCGCTAATAGCTTCCAATTGTACTATACCTTTCTTAAAAGATCCCACTTTTCAGCTTCCCCTCAATTTGACCCCATATCCTTATCAACCTCACTTATAGAAACTTTCTTATCCGCTGCCTTCATAAGTTAGAAATACCAAATACCCCTTGATAAGCTCCTTCTTATTAAGATTAAGATAAGAATTTTTGTTCGACATTACAATTATCCCATGAAATTGATATTGAATAAGAGGAGTCAACACTCGACTGACTTTCAATTTTCCTATTGACTGATATCCATACTTTTTAAATTTCAAATTTGAAAATGAATGCCCCATCCTATCTGTTTGTTTATTCGGCTCCCTTCCAGGTGTCCTGCCCAAAGTAGAATTTGAAACCCTTTCTCCTTTAGCCATGACGATCCTTGAAGCTCGACCTTCATCTTTATGTCCGACAATAATTTCACCTATGACATTCTTTTTAGATCCCTTATTCATAACCAAGTGCCAATTATCTTGCACAACAACTACTTGCATACCTTCCTTTACCATATTTTTCATAGTATTTTCTAGCGTGATGACGTCCGCCCTCTATCCTTTGAAAGTAACATCAATAGGAAAATCATCTGAATTACTATTAAGTCTAGCTTTTTTAGGAGCAGGCGAAAAACATTTATGTTAACTCTTATTCTAATAAAATACAAGTCTTCACCTCTAGTAAAGTTCCAATCAACATTCACAAAATCACCACAAGTTACCCAAATATTGAAAACCCCCAAGTTCCAGGTATGTAATGGAACTCCCCAAAATGTCACCCATAATGCGGTTTTTGGAATAAAAAATACATGAGAATGAGGTTTTCATAATTCCAAGGATAACAACTTACCTCTCACCCTCCAATGCCTTATGGATAACACCTTTCCAGCATATAGATTGGAATGAAAATAGAATATACACCTACTATTGCCAATCCTCTTCACAACCGGCTCATATGGTAAACTCCACGCTCTTTTTGCCCAATTTCGCAAACCAAAAAGGTCATTTGAGGGAGGAGAGAATGAACCTACTATCAGTGATTCAGTATGTTTGGCCATGTCTCCACAAAAAGTCCTTTCATATGACAAGGCTTGGAAGCCATTATTTTCCTTCGACTCATCATCACCTTCCTCCATATTAATACTCATTTTTCTCCCCTCCATCATATTGGTTATTATTCGACAAGCACCCCACCTCTCTCTCTCTCTATATCCATGTCATTTCCCTCTCTAACCATGCCTTTGCTCTCTCTAACCCCATTGTTTCTCTCTCTAACTCCTTTTATCTCTCTACCTTGCCCTTTCTCTAATTCTTGTCTCTAACTTGAGCCCTTTCTTTCTTTGACTCCAATTTCCTTACATGCCTATTTTTTCTCAGACATATATTTCTTACCCATTCTCTGTGTAATTCCTCCATTAATTGTACCTTTTATCTTTCAGACTTCTATCTTTATCTAACCATGTTGTTTCTCTCTCTCACTTAACCTTGGCCTTTCTCTCCCAAACTCTTTTTTTCTATCTGATCTTTCTCAACTCTTCACTCTTTCTAATTATGCCCTTTTTTCCTCTATTTCCTCTCCCTCTCTCTTAACTATACATACTTGGATTGACAAATATTTGACTTGAAAATTCCTTTTTTTTTTTTGTTGAATTGATATATCCAAGATATGGGGCTGAGCATGATATTGTATCTCTCATGGAGGAATCAATGAGTATCAAAGTTATTCAAAGCATCACTTCCCGAAAATATCAACCTAGGTTTAAGATTCCTAAAGATCCACATGGTAATATTTTTGGGATTGAGAAAAATGCTATATAGTATTTCAAATTAGAGTTTCCAATGATGTGCTCCTAAGTTTTTAATAACTAAATAGAGTGGTATGTTTTAGTCCCATATTAAAGAACAATGTGAACAAAGAAAGTCATATATATGAAAAATTTCTCATGAGTTATGCTAATGGAACAAATGAGAGAATGTGGGTCCATGTGCGTAGCATGTGAAACGTGCGACCAGTGCACAAAGGCAACACTTAGCATTGGTGCCGATGCATAGATGCCCTCTGCCCATGCATAGGTCGGCTCATGGCTCGCTTCAATTTTACAGATGCGACTCAAACCTGTAAAAGTGCATCGGACGACTGAGTGTGTGATCCGGTAGCTATGATACTAGTCGTCGTGTGTGTAGATATGTGTCACTTTGTTCAAATGAACAACTACTACTAAGAGTTAGTAACAATTAGGCATTATACTCCCCACGAGATTTGCTCTCTCCCCCAAAAAATTTCTATTGTCTTTCTCGCCGTAAAATTCACTCACTTCTCTCTCTACTTAAAGAACTCCGATGATTCGCAAGTTCTCATAGTCTGAGCAGTAATGGGAGAGGTTTCTGATTTTCTATTTTCAGAAATCTTGAGGACTATTTTGCCCAGATTAACTTCTTGCACACTGAATTATATTAGTAAGGGACAAAATACAATCTTGAGAGAGAGCGCTTTTAACGTGGCTATAAATAGGAAAATCCACCATCTCTATTTGTAATAAAATGCCTCACCAAAATTCTACAACCCTGTTTCACCCATCCAAATTCGAACACCAAATGGGGGTTAACGCATTGCAGATCAAAATTTCGTGTAAGAGATGCCTAGTCAACCTTGCAGCCCGTATAGTACGATCTTGTTGGCTATGTTTATTAAGTGCATGGAGTAATTCTTGAAAGTTTCATGTTAATTAAGTTGGCAACTTTGTTTCCTCCAAATTGGTCCAAGTTAGGAGAGTTCCCTTTTGTCAACCTGTGGAGTAATTTAGGAGGCACTTGAATTTTTTTTTTTTTTGGGAGAAGTCATGAAACACCTCAAATCTTCTTCCAAAAAGTACTTTTGGTATCGGAAATCTTCATGACGGTTATAAAATTAATTTTCAACGCCGACAATAAAATTTGAAACTAAAAAAATAGTACAAACCTTACGGATATGAGAACATTTATTTTTAAGGTGAAATGGATGGTCTAGATGATTTGTTGCAATATACACAATTTTTAGAATTTGAAATCCTAAAGTTTTTTGCACAACCATAATGTTCAATCTGAGATGATCAATATAAGAGATTTTCAACTCTTGAATTGCAATTTTTGATGAAGTTTTGAGGTGAGACTTTACTTCTTTTGATAGGGCTGCAGCCCTATCAAACCATTTCCCGGTCCAACGTAAACCACCTCAAGTGGTGCAGAACCGTTTTGGGGGTCTCTCGTCATGTTGTGTTTCGAGATAAGCGGTTGTTGGTATTGGAAAGTGGATATATGAATGCGATATGTAAATAAAAGGAAGCAGTACGCCCACACACTTACGTATATATTTGATTTGAAGTCGAAGAGAGAGACAGATATAGAGGGCGAAAGAGAAATAGAGAGAGGGAGAGATTGTTCATACGTTTCTGCAACCCGTAGAAGAGGTGGATGAACCCTGTAATCTCTGGATTCCGCAACACTCTCTGCTCTGCGAAGGCTTTTGAAAAACCTTCACTGATTCTTTCAAGGTTCAAGCTTATTTCTAACCCTAACTTTACTGGTTCAGTTCTTTCTTATTTCGTGGTTCTAGGGTTTAGAACTACTGCGGATTCATTGTTCCGTTGATTGAGCACCTGATTTTAGGGCTTTTGTTCTCTTCTTCCTTGTTTATTTGCTCTATTTCCGGATTCTCCTTGCGTTTTCTCTTGAATTGTATTCCGGATTTTGGTTCTGGGTAATGGTTGTGGAGATGAGGGATATGTGGTCTAGGCGTTGGTTTTAGGGTTTTGGTTGTTCTGTTGATCCTTCCTTTTTAGGATTTTGGGTCTTTGGTGATTGTAGGGTTTGGTGAGGACACATTTTTTGCAGGGATGAGTGTCGTCAATCTTTTTGATGGGTGTAGAGTTTTGGGCCAGCTTTTTTATTTCCTTGTTTGGGCAATTCAGTGCTGAACGCTACAGACTTTTGGTTTTTTAAGAGAGACGACTGTGTAAATAGGTTGTTGAGTGGGGTTGTTCTTTTTGGCTTTTATTTTCTCCCCATTTGTAATGTGAGCCACTTGGAGAGTCAGGGTTTATTTTGACTACTCGCTGATGAAACCTGTGACTGCATCTCGAGAATTGTGGACACAGTAGAAGTAGTGTACAGAGGGTGATTATCTGCTGTTTCCTTTTCCTGGTGAAAAGAGAATACTAGATTGGAGGTTTTTTAATAGGAAACCAAATAAAATTGAGACTTTGTTCTTATTTATGTCAAGATAGAATAGGATTCATCAACATAGTTACTGATATGGTATTGCTGATATTGTGGTTTTGAACCATTGGGACATGGTATTTGAACGTATATCGTAATTTTCTGGTCTTTTTGGGAGAATTCTGAGTTCATTATTCTTGTGTACGGATCTCCAGAAGTCAGGCAAATGTGTTCGGTTGTCCTGGTTAACAGGTAGACTGTTAGAACTATTCTTTTTGGCTTCAAGGTCATGCCTTGACAATGATACAGCTATAAAATTGAATAGTGCTCTGAAGGGTAGACAGAAATTTTGGATTTTTAAGGTAGTATCAGTAGAGATAAGATTTTTTTATCATGGTAAAGAAGCGTTATGGAGAGAAATGAGCCAGCATTGGTTCCAGAATGGTTGAAGGGTTCGACTGGCGGGGGATCAGGGAGTGGTGGGGCGACCCATCATTCTTCATTGTCTTCTCTATCAGGTACTATATTTTGTGCTTTATCCATTATTTTTCTGGTTACTTGCAATTACCAACTTATCAAAAAATATACTGAGTTTGTGTCTTCCAGCAGATGAGGCATCAGGTACAATTTCCACAAGGAGCAGATCATCAGGTATAGGTGTCGGTGATCATGACAACCCTCGCTTTCCAAATTTCATGGATAGAACTTCTGTTTTGCATGGTCGCCGGAGTTCAAGCAGCAATTCTGTGCACGACAAAGATATATCCACATATTCTAGGTCATACAGTAGTTTCTGTAGAAGGTACGATGGAGATCGGGATAGGGATTGGGAAAGAGACATTGATTCCCGTGATAAAGAACCATCACTTTTTGGGGACCGTGATCATGTTGAGGCCCGAGGAAATTCTAGTAGTATTTTTGGGCATAGGGTTGAGAAAGAATTTTTGAAGAGATCACAGTCAATGGTTTCAGGAAAGAGAGGCGAAAGCTTGCCTAGGAAGACGGGAAGTGACATGGGAAGCCTAAAGAATGGGTTGCTTGTTGGTGGGGGTCTCATGAGTAGCATTAATAAGGCTGCATTTGAGAGGGACTTTCCATCTCTAGGAGTTGAAGAAAAACAAGGAATGTGTACAAATGGTGTTGCCGAGATAGGCAGGGCAACCTCTCCTGTTTTAACTCCTGTGGCACAAAGCCTTCCTTTGGGTACATCCTCTGTTATTGGTGGGGATGGATGGACTTCAGCTTTAGCAGAGGTTCCTGTTATAATTGGAAACAATGCTTGCATGCATTCATCTGTTCCACCAGTCATGCCTGCAACTCCTGTTTCTTCTGTGGCTCCAAACTCAATAACTGGGCTCAATATGGCTGAAACATTGGCTCAAGCACCTACACGATCGCGTGCACTTCCCCAGGCAAGTAGATAGAGGCATATTTTGATTTGTTTTGTGTTCAAGCCGTTTGCATCTTATCTTTTTTTATTGCTTGGATGCAGCAGTTGCAAATTGAGACTCAGAGGCTTGAGGAGTTCGCAATCAAGCAATCTAGGCAGTTGATACCCATGACACCTTCAATGCCTAAAACCTTGGTATGTGTTTCGGCATTATTTGTTTTAATACATTTTGAAATCTAATTACCTCTTAGTTTAATCACATGCTGCTGAATGAAATAGTTCCAATCCTTATCTCATACACGAGGTGCCAAACTAATGGCATAACTGCCCTTATTTTTTATTGAATAAGAGCGTAACTTCCCTTCTTGTGGAATTCTTTTTCTTTTTTCTCTTCAGGCAGTTAATGAGTTTTTCATTGAGAAAATTAAGGGCTGTAGCTGTGAAAGCTTTTTTTATGAATATGAACTTTTGTAATGCCTCAGGAAGTGCTTGTTGTTACAATAATGCCTTACCTTCTTACTCTTTTCTTTATTTGCTTTGGAAATTTTAACTCCTCTCCGTTTGTATGGCTTGTAATGATCGTCAATCATATGGGTTCCTTTCTGACAACGTTATTTAGGGAGAGATGTAGTGGCAAACCTTCTCATTGTAATTATAGTTATATTGTTCTATTCATCATGGCATATGGCAGAAATATGTGGACCAGTCATGGATTTTGCAGATAATGCTGATGTATTTTGCTGATAATGCTGATGGATTGGTTTAATGTGTACCAATTGATTTAGATAGTTAGCTATTGCGTATGGTTAGCTATTGCGTATGGTTAGCTATTGGGTAGAGTTGGAGGCTTGGAGCTGAAACTATTCTAGCTGTTGTTATGATGTGTTCCTTGAGACCGCTGCCCTGCCAATTCTGCGCATTTGTAATAGGTCATGTATGATTATTATAAATGATTTTGTTCTGCCCAATCCATAGTTTTCACTCACTGTAGCCTTTGAGTATTTGGAATTTTATGCTTCTTGTCATAGTTCCCTTTGATTTTCTCTGTCTGAGCTTTCTTTGCCCCTTCTGTCCATCTTGCAATTGTTCCATGCCTTTTCCTTGCACTTATAAAATATCCATTGTTATCATGGTTAATGATATGGGCACTGTTCACTGATAACACGAAGTGATATGTGCAATCCCTTAATGGGGTGTTTGGTGTGGCTTTCATAGCTTCAAGAAAGCAACACACCAGTGTTCATGGACTCGGCTGAGTAACTTGGTCTTGGCCTATGGCCGAGGCGAGCTCTAGGGGCCAACTTGTCCCATGAAGAAGTATTTTAAACTTATAATGTTTTAAAAAATCTTTAATATAGACTTAAAAATGTGTTTTTATATTTGTATGGTTTTCATGTGATTTGGGAACTTTTGATTATTACATACTCCTACATTTCAATTGTATATCAAATTCTTCAATAATCCATACTTCATATACTTTCTTTGACTTTTAAAGACTTTCAATGATGTCTATTACTTATTTTACTTTTTGCTGATTTTATATTGTTTTTAACAAATTTATTCTTTGAATTTTTAGCGTCTTTTTGGTCCTAAACACGACTCGATTGAGTTATCGGCTCGGACCAAGGCCGAGTTTGAAAACATTGCAACAGACTTATGATATGTTTGGATGCCACCTCAAACCATAGTTGGGGAGCATTTTCTGGATTTTTTAGTTTGTAAAATCAAATTCAAAGTTATTAGGAAGATGGCCTATGTGGATGCCCCATTCAAATAAATCTTCATCCAAAAAAAAGTTCTGCAAGCCACAAACCAATCTTGGCCTCTTTCATGCATTAAAGGATGGACCTAGGCTGTGGCCTCTCTCTTCCTTGTTTCTCACTCGTTTTCCTCTTTTACTCCATTCTCTTTCCCATTCCTATTTGTAATGAAACCATGACTTCTGCAACCAAAGTCTGCCTGCACTCTTTCTCCGTGGCACTTTGATTTCGTAATGCCAGAGGGAGGGGGGAAGTGAATTGGGGGTTCCAAGCATTCTTTGCTGCATGCAGAAAATTCATTCGCCAAGCTGGTCTTTTCTCACCTGCAACAATCAAGAACCTTACCATAAGGAAAAACAAGCTATTGTAGAGCAGTGATTCATTCTTCAAGTTTCTCTTTCCTCATCTGCAACATCAACAAACAACTCTCATTGAGCTCAGAGCTAAGATGAAGGGAAAGGCACGTTTCTTATTGATAGCGAGAAACACATGCACGTTCAATCAGGTTTTTTTGGACCTTTAGTGGACCATAAGCCCATGATATTGAAGCTTCCCCCATATCTCATCGTTATTGCAAATAGAAAAAATACCATTAAAAATATTTGATATGAACAATAACATAGTAAAGCTTAGTTTTCAAATGGCTGTTACATGCCTCTTCCTCCTCCAGGAAATCCCTAGTTCTCAAAATGTTCTCTGGTTACAGAGCACTTGTTGCGAGTAGTATTGCTTGAACTAGATGAGGAAGAATCACTGCTGCTGATTCTAGGAATGGTGTTCACTTGACTTACCATGAAAACTGAGCACATCAGAGAGAGATGGTGAAGGTGTGGGAGAGAAGAATGATAGAAGGGAATTGAGAGAGAGATGGTGAAGGTGCTGGATTGTAGGCAGAGATAGAGAGTGAAGGGGATTGATAGGTGCATGTGAGAGAAACGAGGAGGTTACAGACAATTGAATGATTGTGAGGGGTTGAGTTTTTGTAGAAAGGGGACAATTTCTGGTGACTCTTGGAGAATTTTAAAATTTTAATGAATTTCACTAGATTTCAATATGGGCTCACCGGTTGGTCAAAGTGGCACTCAAACTACCCTTGAGCATGGATTAATATTAATGTTGTTTGTGAAATTTAGGAAATGGCCTTCTCTCAGTCTAGCTTGATTACCAGGCCGGGTTCTTTGGGGAGGTATATGGAGTGGATACACTCATGAGCCACTAACACCCCATCGAGAATTTCTTTCTCTTTGACGAAAGCCTGTTATGACCTGGGATAAGACCTCTCGAATACTTCAGAGATGATCTTGTAGGATGAATTTATAAGACTAGTTTGGCGGAAGTCCTTGAGCTCATCCTCTCCTTCCACTTTAGGAATCAGGTAATGAAGGTGGCATTCATTGCCCTGTGAATGACACCTCTGGTATGGAATTCCTCGAATAATGAAAGAATATCGCGCTTGAAGGAGTCCCAGAAAATTTTGAAAGGGGCAACTGGGAACCCATCAAGGCCAGGGGCCCAATCCTGGCCTAGCTCATTGATGGCCTTCTACATTTTAAAAGAAGTGAAGATTGAAATTCCGCTGTAGCCAAATAATTCCTTAATCTGAAAAGGGACTTTTCCTAGATGAGGTTAAACCTGTAATGACAAGCCATTTGTGCTGCAACCCAGTATAGGCCCACATTTTGTGGAGTGTATGTGAAAGGGGCAAACAAACCCATAATGTCCTTCAAATCCATGCTCATCACTTTTTGTCATGTTTGAGAATTTCATTTTTTAAAAGAAATCTTTGAGAATGCTGGAACTTCATGCTTCTTCTTGTAGTTATCTTTGTGGAGAATTGGAAATTAGTCCTTGCGATCATAGTTTCTCTGCAGATAAGGGACCATTAGAGCGATCAGATGTAATTTTGAAATGCATGTTTGTTCTATGGGAACATCTTTATTTAATGAAGTCTTGATGTATTAATATAATAAGAGAGTAAAGAAAATAATTACTTGCACGAATTTGATAAATTATGCCGTAACAATAAGCTGTGCATGCTTGAGGCAGTGGTTGGTGGCAAGATTGTAGAATTTACCAGCTTATCTCAATGTATGTGCTGAATCATCCAGACATCTTTCCCAGCATGTTATCGGAGCATATGGAGTGCCAAACTATGTTTTTTTTAAGAATTTTCTAGAAAAATATTCTTTTTTATTATGTTGATTATGAGGTGCATATTTGCTGATGATGGTTGTCTAATAATATGCTTTCACTAAAACCTGAGCATCTTTCCGCTTGGATGGTAGTGTATCCTTTTTACTTTCCACATCCCAAAGGTTTGCATCATGGACAGTTTTGGCAAAGTTTTATATTGGCTGCCTACCTAATACAACCCACCTCCTTAACCCGGGCTTGGGATGAGTTAAGGGAAAGTTTAAGGTCCTCATCTTTCTTTGACCACATCCCACTGGTTTTCAATTAACATAGTTAGGACATATTGATAAAGAGTGAGCATGCAATTGAGTAGATAGTCCAGTATAATTAGGTTGGACTCCAATGAGTTTCTGAACAGTTGGCTTCAAATGAGGAATCCTGTTTATGGCGCACACAAAGGTCTCCACGTAAGGTCTCTGTTTTTTTTTTTTGCGATTATAATTTCTGGGGAATTATTCTGTGAGAAACACTTTTTTTACTTTTTAACTAGAAATTTCTATGGAGTTTCCTTTTGCCATTCAAATGTTTTGACTTCTTTATGATGTTCTGCATTTAAATTGTAACCTTGATGTGTCAGTATATAAATCCAGGCTTTCCTTGAATAATTGTGCAAAAATGTCATATTTTTTTCTCTCACTTTAGAATATGGTGGGATGGAGATATTGTAGATTCAGAAAACATTATAAGATTGATATTTGGACCTACGGTAGGAATTTTAGAATGAAAGGATGGCTGTTTAGCAGACTTGCTTGTCTCACACATTGTCTATGTCTTTAAGTTAACTTTATAGCCAGCAAAATGTGGAAAGATGTGAAATTCAGTTTCCTGTCTACTTATCAAAATGAATTTCAGTTTGCTGTTGGCAATATGTCTTCGTCCATAATCCTTCCTGCAGCTCGTTGGAAGAGTTTAAAACAGAAAATGCAAAGAAAGAGGGGAGAAATCTAGAGTTCATTGTCCATTCTGTATCAGGATAAGTTTCCTGCTCTCTGGAATCTTCTTGCTGGCTGCTAGTATTCAAATCCTGGACAATAGAATGAACAATATGAATGCTGCAATATTGCTCTATTAGTTTTTTGCATGAATAAAGTTTTGGAGCTAGTTTAGGAGCATTCGATTGTTTTAGAGAGATGACGTGTATAATTTTCAGTGGATACATTAATCAGCATGAGAGGGATAGATGATATCTTTATCAATGGTTGTTTGAATAAGTTCAATCACATGCATTGTAAATTCCAATAA